AGAGGATTTTGACCAAATAAGCAAGCTTTTAGAAAAAAACTCTTATCTCCCTTATTTATTTATATTTTTTAACAGTTTTTTTTTTGTTTTTTACAAAAATGAATACACTAAACAATATTGCTTCATCTGTTACATTTTAGGTTCACCAAAAAAATTTATTTTACAAAATAATAAAATCTCATTTTACGAAAAAAAAAAAAAGTTTGATATGAAATAAGTTCTGTTGGATTTTTTTTTAAATGGTTATATGTTTTATTACTGTAAAAAGAATACTTTTGTGATCATTTTGATAAAAAAATTATGCATTTACACATCATACAATGTTTTTTAGAACATAAAACAAATGTCATGACATTTTACGGAAAACCCGAAGCACCATCAAAATGTTTTATAACTACCCCATTTGTCAATATAGTTGAATAATGTGACTTTATTTATCACATAACTAAATGTGGTAAAGGATTTTAGTAATTTTGTTAGTGATATAGGTGTATTGCCATGAAAAGATCTATGATGAAATGATAAATTTGATTTACCGACATTTTATTTTCTAAGTTTTACATGAAATAAAACTAGTTAGATAATGTACCAATATTTTTATTTTGCTCTTATTACAAAAAGCATTATTTCATGAATATTTTGGTGAAAAAATTGTCACCCTATGTGTCTAAACTTTTTTTTTATAAATAAAACACAAAGTGGTAATTGGCGCATATTTACATAATTACATATTGGTACAAATACAGATATAATTCATTGCTAAGGGGGGTATTGTGATTGACAACTTAGCAAAGACAGGCTAATAAACTAAAAAAAACAACTAAATATTAGAAGAAAAAATCTTACCATTTTGAGTAGGCCAGGTCATTTCAGTTTCCATGGTAACGGACGGTCAAATTATCCATGTCTAAAAGTTGTCTTATCCTATGCAACTAAAAATGTATTTACATATTTACAAGTCTTCACTTAGTTCATTAGTCTTTTATGTTTATCAACACCTATGGTGCTGGATGCACTCAGGATGTAGTCCTTTGTCACAGCGCACACACACAAATGCTGATCGGTGTTTGCTATTCTCAGTGCTGCATACCTTGCAGATCCGCAATTTTCTTCCTGGTAACTTTTTCACCCCAAAAAGGTTAGCAGGTCCACCTTGAGGTTGTGGTTGAGCAGGTAGGGTTTGTTGTTTGGTAAGGATCCATTCCTTACCAAGGTCGTGTACCAATGACTGCATGAATTTGATACGGGTCATAGGCTTTACGTTGTTCTGTTTGACATTTTCCTTGTATAATATATATGCGTTCAAAATCATGCGCGAGAATAGACTAAAAACTACTTTCTTCCAAACTTTAACAGTCCTACGCTCATCCATATATGCATACACCATCATGTCAGAGATATCTATTCCCCCCATATATTTATTGTATTCCAAAATGACATCTGGCTTGTTGACAACTTCTTCCCCTACCTGCCTCCTAACTCTACGCCTGACTTCACTGGTTGTTGCCTGAGATGCAGTGGAAATCAACAATACCTGTTTTTTTTTGAGTTTTTTTATCTCTAAACCCACACAAAAGAAGAAACCCTTTTTTGAAAAATCTCGGAACACCGACACCAAATTTTGATTTTACTGCGTCAGGTAGGCCCTTACGATTGGATCGAATGGTTGCGGTGTAGTATGTTCCAAGCTCATACAATCGAGATGCAAGGGGGATGGAAGCAAAAAAGTTATCTGTAAAGACATGAAACCCTTTATTTAGGTAATTACCTAAGGTGAGAAGTTTTTTTACTACAACAAATCCTTGGCCGAATTCCTTTTGCTCCTGTTTTTCTTCAGATGGGACACGTGCACCTTTATATACAAAAAAACCCAACACACAATTTGTTACGGAGTCACACAACATCCACACCTTCACTCCCCATCTGTGATGTTGTTTTTTAGGTAAGTACTGTTGTAATACTGTATGTGACTTAGTTCCGATGAGAGACTCGTCAACCGAAAGCTGCTCATGTGGAGTATAATAGTGGCGAAATAAGACGTTTGCGTGGTCTACAAGAGGCTGGAACTTTGCACATGGATCAGGTCTTCTTCGGGCAATGACATCATTGTTCACCAGATGGAAAAACCGTAACAACAGTTGAAACCTATCTCTTGTAAACATTTGTGGAAACCACGGCGTAGCCATTCCGGGGATAGTGGACCAGTAGGAGTATATTGTTGGCTTTCTAATTATGCCCATATTGAAAATGCAAGCAATAAAACCTTTGATCTCTGGAACGCAAGTCGGTAACCACTTCTTGGTTCTAGAGTTATCACTGAACTCAGAACGCTCCAAACATTGTGATGCATATCTATTTGTTTCTCTAACTATGCTGTTTAGAAGCAAAGTTGTGAAAAACAAATTGAAATATGAAACTGGGGGGGAATCTGGTGGTGGCATATGTTTTGGTCCTGGAAGTTCATGGTATGTTACTGGACGAAGTGGGAAATCAACATCAGGTCCAATTTCTTCCCAAATGTCTCCATCCGGTGCATTACCTGGAATTGGGTTTTCATGTGCAATAGGGTCTAGCTGTATGGGCGGGTTCACTATTTGGTTAGGTTCATCTAGGCCTACCATGGCAATAGGGTCTGGCTGTATGGGCGGGTTCACAATTAGGTTAGGTTCATCTAGGCCTACCATGGCAATAGGGTCTGGCTGTATGGGCGGGTTCACAATTAGGTTAGGTTCATCTAGGCCTACCGTGGCAATAGGGTCTGGATATGCGGTCGGGTTCAATATTTCGTCAGGTTCATCGACCATCTCCTCCTCAAAAGTGGATTGGACATTCCTAATCGGACTTATAGGAGGAGAATGGTGAGGATTTCGTCTACGTTTGGAAATGATTTGCTCTAACCTGGATGGTTTTCTCTTTTTGGGCGTCGACGACACAAATTCTTGTGTAGGCCCACTGTCGATCGATTCGTCTGCACTGTCGTCCTCAGAAGATGGTATGTAATCCATGTCTTCGTCAGTATCGTCAGCTTCACTTGGCGAATCCGATTCATCATCTGTCGTAGGTACGTCGTCATCCTCCTCTTCAAAATCGGAAATATTCTGTGTCAATTGGTCACTAAAAGACTGGTCAATTGTTAGTGTCCCAGTGTCATTTGAAGAGATATCACTGATCAAGGCACGAAGCCTTTCCTCGTCCCCGGCAAAGTTATCACGATCCATTGTTTCGAAAAAGTTCACCAATGATCCACATTACAACAACTCGTTTTATAAATAGGCCTAACTCGCAAAACTACACAATATCTATACGAATCTAAAAAAAGAGCACAAACTAACTAGAAAACAAAACTTTATACACAATAAAGTAAATAACTTTGTTTCAAAACAAACAGCGCAAAACGATATGTTATCCGTCGTCAGTCAAAGCGTCACTGCGCACAAAGAAACAAAGAATTGAAATGTAAACAGCTGACCGCTAGCGACAGTAAAAGAGCGAAATGAACCGGCGATCGATAATTTGAAGCTTTTGGAACATACTGACGCATTAACCAGCCAATGCATCCATGGCAACAATGCGTACTATACGAAATACGAATAGTCGCTGTGAGCGACGCTCGCACTTTAGTGTAAAAATACATCGTCGCTGGCAGCGACGCTGTAGCACTAAAAGGGTTAAGGTTAGGGTATATGAATGAAAAGACACATGCTAACAGTTAATTATTTTGAAATTTCAATTACATTTTTCTCTCTATAACCTATACAAACTAAAATAACAATTTTAATTGATGGAACATAACAGCACTGCGGGGGTTGCAGGGTGTTATTAAAGCCACTGGCTGCGGTTAGCAAGATCTGGCGTTCACCACTTGGAGTGCCGTGTAGTTACGGCACACGTGCCCCTTAACTACAGGGCACTCCAAGCGGTGGACCCCAAACCGCAGCACTACTGTCAGTCTATATTTTATTGTATTTGTCTACGGTATGATTAAGTAAGTTCAGAACTTAGCTTTGTTCAACATGTTCAAATTGGTAATTTCAACCACTGCCATTTTGCTATGATGAATCCTAAGAGTTCAGGTTTGCATCACTGTGTTTTTCCAATAGGGACCTTTAATTTAACCCATTGGCGCCGACTTACGAGCGTTACTCGTACGGCTGCTGCAGCCCCGGCGGCCGACTTACGAGAGCCGCTCGTGTCACCGCTAGGCAGCGCCATTTTTTATTTAGTTATTATTATTTTTCGCCCTTTTTGTTTCTTCTTACTATTATAATATTTATAAATATATTGCTTCTTGATTTGTGTATTTACTCATTTATTTTAGCAAATAACAAACAATTTTGTGTTGCAATGGAAACCACATATCACCAAAAATCAGCTGCGGTAAGGTAAACAAACTTTTTTTTTAAATGTTATTACTTATAAAAGTACACAACTTTTGATTTTTCTACGTAGGGAATCGATTGACCTTTATAATAGTAGTGTTATTTGGTGTCTGGATTAATCTTGGAATTTGTATATCAAGTTTACTTTCAAAATATTGTTTGTAAAATTTTTCTTTTTATAATCTTTATATATATATATATATTTTTTAGTTTAGAACTTTGACTATCCAATTTCCACTTTTCTGTAGACAATTTTACTGTGAACAAAATGGTGAAAGAATTATTAATTTATTACATAAGGTTTTCTTTCTATAGCAGTTAGAGTTAAAGTCTACAAATTCGGTAAAATTAATTGCCGCCAGAGGGTGCTGCAGGCAGCGATTAATTCCCTCCCCAATGGGTTAATACACTACTCAACATATACTCTCTTTTAATAATACTGCCTTCTGACTCCTTTTGAACCCTCAGTAGGACGGAAAAAAATCCATATATGTATGCTTTATAAAGTAGGTCTTTGGGTATAGTAAAAATTTAAAAGCTTTGTAGCATATCTGCTTCAAAAAATAAAATGACTGTTATTTTTGAGGACCCTGTATGCATATCCTTGACTTTTAACCTCAGATGTGTTCAACAAATCTACAAAGAATATCTCAAATTTCTCTCTCAACCTAACCAAGATGAACCAGGACGATGTTTATGAACACCTGATGCTGTTGATGAAGAAAACCTCACATCCACTTTACTCAGGAGAATAGTTACTCAAGGATAATGTTTTATGTATCAGAATCTCTTTGTGATATTTCACTCATCCCCTAGTGTTGTAGAAAATGAATTTTTACAATAAATGTTTTGGAAAAAATTGTCTATCTTTACTTATTTTACCTTTTAGAGGTTTTAGAGACTGGAAAGTCTTGTGCAATTTTCTGAATTCAATGATTGTTGTTGGGTACTTGTGGCGTTCAAGCTACGTTGTTGTGGTCGATTTATTGACTGTCACGACCAAACTTTTTGTGTAGGAAACGGCAATTGAATCCCTTTATTTATTCAGAGGAGACAATTTACCGCTAATCACACACCCAAAGAGCCAGCCAGCTTTGATGATTATTAATAAATATTATTTGGACCATTTTAACTACAGAACAGAAATACTATTGCCTTTGAATATATGCAATAATTATTACTGAAATCAGACAACTGGACACAACGTCAACTAATATTTGAGCACATATTGATATTGAAAGACAAAACTAGAAATAAGATAAACATTTTTGACTACAGAATCTGAAAAGAACAATTTTGGGAAATTTAGAGAAATTAAGAGTTATTACATTTTTAACACCGTATCTCTCATGGGGCCTTTCCCCCATATCCCAACTCCTAGCAGAGGTCTGATTCCTGGTTCACTCTACTCACCTCACGTGCTCGCCGCGCACGCGTGAGCACAGTCAGAGCAGAGTTGAAGAGTGTCTTCTTGGCAGGACATTTGAGTTGGGTGGATCAGTCTGTGGAGGCTGAGATCTACATTCTTAATGTGAAGCGATACACATTAAAATATTTCATCTTTAGTACAGCTAAATGAGCACACTTCATGCAAATACTAGTACAACATCCATAGACAATGGACATACAATTGTATTTATAACCTAAGAAAAGCAGTGCTTAATTTGTTAAAAATGAGGTGCCGGAACTGTAACCTATTTAATGTGATTTGTACCTATTTATGCCAATATTTGTATTTTCCTGAAAGAGAGGTTTGGGAACTCCGTTCCGCCGCGTCCCCCTGTCAATCAAACGCTGAGAAAAAGTGTAGGGTTTTATTAGAGCATTTTGAATGAATGTGGAGATAGACATCCAAGTCTCTGACACTCTTAAGCAGGGTCGTCTCGTGGTTTATTGGCACCCAGGGCGGGATGTTGTCAGCCCCCCCCCAAACACATAATGAGTGATGCTTGTTATACAAAGTTGCACGGCGGGTTGCGTCGCTATCTGCATTTTCATTCCCAACAACAGATACTGAAAGGATATAATTACCATAAAAAAATAAGTTACTACAGTCAGGAATCAGGGATTAAATTACTACATTTTTTTATGGAAATCTTTTTTTTATTTAATAACTAGCTGTTTGCCCGTTCTACGTACGGGAATCTTGTAGTAAGTTGAAACCTTCTTATTTTCAGAACAGGAGTTGGTTTGCATATGAATATTTCCTGATATGCTGGCAAAACTATTGTTGTATAGGAATACATATAAACCTTCGCAAATACAATATCTGACAGTTTCAAAGCCAAAACGGATGCTTTACAATTATATGTCACCCGATCGTGTTAGTCCATATTTTATATCTAATGATAAAAGGAATTGCTTTATAGGTCTATGAGGCATAGCCCTACGGTAGGCCCGTAATTGAAAGTTACTTTTCACACTGGTTTAAAAGTAGTTAAAATACTACCTCAACCTCACTACTGCACACTTTATTCGGGTTGAAATTTTCATTAACAAAGGTGCTTAATGTTAATGCTTAAAACATCTTGTCTTTTCCACGAAACACTTAGAAATAAGGACATTAATGCTTTACCAACAGACAGCATACAAACACAAATACAGAATTGAATTAGGGGATTTCCTACGCTTTAACATTGCAAACAAAACAATTATTTGAAAGTTTTTATAGTGTCATCAAATGGCTAGTTGTAAATAGTAATGTGCTTGTACGTAAAAATGATTCTTACTGCTACCACCGGTTCTAAGGAAAAGTAGCAATACCAAACACCAACGTTTACATTTAAGAAAATAACTATAGTACTTACGACCAATTCAAACTGTCCTTCTAATCAAACTGTAGGCCCTATTATAGGTGTTAATCCGTTGGCAAATACATAAATAAATAAATACACAGGCCACAAAACACGTAACATGTAACGTTAACAACGTAAAGCTTTAAAAACTCACTATGGTTTGCTAAAAAAAAAAAAAAACTTTCACTTGATGGGGTGCAGTAACAAAGTTATTAATCTCCCTTGGTTTTAATTTTCTTTTTAAGTTTTCAAAAATCAAAGTTATTTCCCATTAATAGCATTATTTGTAAGCAATTTTTAATGTTAACGTATTAATGACAATTTGAAGAAACCACCTTTATCCAAACAAATGTTTCTTATTTAAAAGATTACGTAATCTCTAAACGATAATCGGTACATATATCTAGCAAACATTCGGAGGAAATGTTACAAAAACGCACAAATCTGGGGTTTTGGACGTTTTTAGTTTTACTTCCTAGATAGGAAAAGTACCGATATCGTTGTCAACATCCACGATCACCCACTGCATTTGTGATTTTTTACTTTGCACTTTACACAACTGTCCTTGAAACGTCGTCAATAAGTGAAAACCTTTTTGTAAGCTATTGGTGACGATGATTAAAAAAATATAGGTAAGTTTCCCAGTACTAATACAACACTAATTCACAGCATTTCCCTCGGTTATCATAACTCAAGAACAATCGTTGCACTTGCGATTAATTAAACCGGTCAAGTAAGGCACAACGTTTTTAATCTCACTTGGTTTGGATGTGCTAACAAAACTTGATTGGAAATGGTTGAGGTATTTGTAAACAACTTTTAATGTAAACATATCAGTGACAGCTAGAAGTGAGAACTAATCCAAACAGTTGATCGTTATTTCATAAAATGTAATAGTAAACATTAGGAGAAAATTTGACTAAAATCGAACGAAATTGGGTTTTTGATGGTTCGTTATTTTGTTTTCAAAGAAGCGAGGCCATGTTTTAATAGCCAAAGACACTCTCACCAATCCAGTAAATACAGAAAAATGATTAGAACCTTGATCGGTAATCTAGTTTTCTAGGAGAAGGCCGCGTAAAATTACATTTTGGCGTTACAGACAGAGTCACAGAATAGACAGACAAACAGACATACAGACAGAAATTGATATAAGACTCGTTTCGGCTTTCTTAGGCTATGAAACATAAAAATAACCAAAAACTGCATGATCCTAAGCAATGTACAGACAAAACTCTAATTTTATTTATATAGATTTAAATTTATACAGTTAATGTAAGAAAATATTAAACCAATAAAAAGTACTATACTATATATGTTATTAATTAATACATTGCAAATTGAATGTACACTAACACAATATTCACGTAAATAACTCGTAATCACTCATTAAACTAGGTGTCAAACAATATGTATTTATTCAATAAATACATACAACGTAATATTAAACATTCAGTTATACATAACTTTCCAAAATACGATATGTACATCTAACCTAATTTTTCAATTTCGTTGTATTACTTTTGCACCGGCGCCCGGGGCTGCAACGGCCCTGCTCCTAAGACATGAAAATTAATAAAGTAATGCACTAGTGAGCACATCTTGTTTTCAGAGAGCACATGGTTGGTTAGGTGAGTGACTGAGGTTTCTGGTGCCCTCTCCTGGCTAGTTTCCCAAAAGCCACAGCGAGGTGTGTCTACTATGTTTTCTAGAGTCATTATGATGGCCGCCAACAGCCTAGGCCCCCCACCAGAAACAGGAGCAGGAGCGGCAGACACGGCTTTAAGTATGTGGAATAGTGATCCGAGTTGTTAAATGCCTTTACGATTTAAGTCAGAACCATCCCAGGCACGGCCTTTCCGGCTACATAAATATTAACCTCTACAAATTTAACACCAAAGTTTACTGCATATTAGGCCAACTTGAAGTTTGAAATATCAGAAAGCTCTGTTGCTAATGTCTTTCCGAATTAGGTTGGTTTTCAAAATCGTTTTAAAAATAGTTTATTTCATGTTACTGATTTGACTACTAATAATTAACTACTTATCATAGAAATACTTATTGAGGTTATTAAGAACTTCTCAAAGGCAAAGGCTGACGCTGTGCTACCATAAACTAAAAGTAAGAACGAGACAGAGTAGGTTAGGGCTTTTTGTCATTTTGTTCTGCTGCGTTTGGCACTGGTTGTTTGGTTGTAGTCAGAATGAAAGTGATTTCAGCCGGTGTTCTGCTTGCGCGCCGCGCAACTATATATAAAACGGAGACTCGCATGGCACTGGTCAACCCATTTACTTGCATGACGAAGATGGGAGTCGCCCATGATCAGTACCATCATGAGTTTTTTGTTACCATCTGAATACTGAATCTTCACCAGGGTAGATGAATTGGGAAATCACTGCTGGAGTGTCGGTAGTGGAGGATGTTGTCGGATGTGGTTCAACGTTGTCAATGGACTGAGACAGCTCGATATAGTGATTGACGACAGCTTGGCTCTCCTTCTCTCGTGCTGACATCGTCCTCACCTCAGATCGCTGAAGTCAGCCTCCAGCACCTTGATGGTCGTCAGTTGACAAATACACTCAGCATGCAACGCTTCTACCTTCTCACGCTCTATCTGCTTCTCAAAATCCCCCTTCCTAGATTGCTGCAATATATCTTGATTTGCAGGTTTTCTTCCTTGACCCTATTTAACTGTCTGGCCCTGAGCTACATCAATCTTCAAACTCACTGCTTCTTGTGTTTGTTCTTAAAAACTTATTATTTATTCAAGAAAATTTGTTTCCAACAATTCATATTTGTTCATGTAGAATATTAATATCTTGAACAAGTGTTACTAACCCTTAAGCACCCTTGAGGTGTGTGTTTAACCTTATTAACCCTTGCAAACATTCTCCAAGCAGCTTCACTTGGTCCAACATATCGAGCATTGAGAAATAAATTAATTTCATCATAATCAAGTCTATCGTTTTCTCTAGCTACCTCTATATTGCAACAATCATGACCTTTATAGATGTACTTATGGATGTATTTGATAGATCGCACACTGGAACATATCTCAACATTA